AATGTCACACATGTCCCAATCAAGAAGTCATTTCCTTTGCTCATGCCTTTAAAAATAAGTTTTTAAAGCTAACCAAAAATTTGCGATCACTTTCTTTATGATCCTCTCATTTTCTATTATTTATGTTTGCTAATTAATGAGATAATTATTTAACTTACCTCTGTAATTTTATTATCGCTAACTAAGAAATCAATTTTGTAATCTATCTTTTTTATGTTTTCTATTACTAGTTATTGCATATCTCTTTTTGAGAGAGAACCTCCTTATTTTCTCTTGCATAAGCACATCCTATTTTATAACGTTTTTTTAACTATGGTTATTCAATACAACATAACAACTAATTACTAGGAATTGTTGGGCTCTAATATTAATTGATGCAGATGAAACAACAAGTTGCGATGTCACGGTCACACAAATTAATTACCCTAGCTTAAAATACACAAGATAGTATATAGCAAGTACGGGGTCAATCTCACAAGGAAGGTTTAGTTCAATTTTTTGTGCTATATGTTATGTAATTGGGGGGTTTGATTTGTAATGATTTAAACTATGACAGAAATTAATCTAGCAAATAAAATCAATTAAAACTGAAATTTATTAAGAAAACAAATCTTGGTCACAAGCACACATCCACCTACAGAAATCAAAACCGATCTTTGAAACGAAACTCTAGTTTATATTCTGAATTTTTTATCTTTTTTTAATGTTGATTAGTTAACAGATCCACTATAAACCTAATTATAATCAACAAACAATCACAATGTCCACACTAATGATTTATTCCAATGACAGCCTTAAGATCTAGATAAATTCATTAATCTTAACAACCAAAATATTCGCAGCTTGTGTTGCTTTGATTAAATATTCTCTCTAAGTTTAATAACATAGTTCCACCATAATTATTAAACTTAGTTGCTTCACAAGTTTATATACCACAACTCCGGTTTTGATATTAAACTTAGCAATAGATTGTTCAAAATAATAACTTAGAGTCCACTCTAGCAATTAAGATAAACAATCATAGAAAATTCAATAAGAAAACAAGCATACTTATTCATAATCCAAACTGAAAATAAATGGAAGAATAAATCTCATGATTCTTGAATTCTGAAGGTTTTTGCGTCCTTGCAACCAAGAAAACAAGTTTAGCCTTGTATATATATTGAACTACTTCTAAAGATAGAAGAAAATATTATTTATAGTATGTAAAGAAGAGAGTTTGTGTTTCTTCACTTTTGGACGCTACCTCCTTTTTACGAGTTTGTGTTTCTTCACTTTTGGACGCTGCCTCCTTTTTACCCTCTTTCCCTTCTCTCTTTCTTTTTATATGATAAGAAACCTTATTCCTTATTTTACAAAATAATCCTCCTTTAAGTTGACAATTTATATTTAAGTACTTAAATAACTATTTTTCTAAAAAAGAGCACTGGCCATGCTTTAAATATTTAAGATTTAACTTAGAGGAGCTATATTGCTGAAATAAAAACTTGGATGCCTGTTTAGATGCATCAAAACATAATTTGGACATGTTCCTTCACGAAACCTGTTTGTTGACAGAATTCAATTATCATCTTTGAAAAATCATATCTCCCTCGTATGACATATTTTTTGGCTAAAATTTTGATTTTTTATAGGAATTTTAATCAGGAATCCAAAAAAATTAAGTTGCATCAATTGGACTTCTGTAGCTCCAAATATTCAAGTCGGAATGATTGAAGGTCAACATAGGCAAATTGCGAGATTTGACTTTAAAAGCTGTGATTTCCATGCTCTTTCTTATTTTATTTTCTTGCCTTAGATATCCAGAAAGGTATGGATGTTAGCTTTTTAATGCCACTGGAATCACTTCATTTTGACCTTTAGAGCTCACGCTCTACACAAAACATCGACTGAAGGTCAAGTCTGCCAATTACCTTTAATTTACTCCTTTTTGCATCTTTCATCCAAAAGTGCCTTTAAAGCATAAAACAAAGAATATCAAGATATTTTATATATAAAACATAGGCAAAACACTAGTTAAATATGGGTAAAACTATCGAATAATACGGCTGCATTACAACATGAAAAATATGATAAACATTAAAAGATAAAATAATACTGAAAAAGGTTACACAAAAAAAAAACTTAATTCAAATATATATTACTCATTATTTTATCTAATAAAAACTTAATATTATAGATCTTGTAAGCTTCTTCAAACCTCAATGATTATGAAATTTTAATCATATAGGAAACAAGGTCTATAAAATCTCTTAGCAAAGTTTTATGTAGATTTAACAGTTTGATAAAAAGTTATGCCTGTTACTTAAGGTTGAATGTTAGGAAAAAAATCCCTTTTATTAATAGTCTTTAAGTGGTTATTAATGAAGCTAAATCTAATAAATTTTGAAGGGTTGATGCCTAGTTGCTCCATATATAGCTCCTTTAACCATATTTTTTAAATGAATTTTAGTCAATCCAAATTGATCTTGTATGAAATTTTCCATAAAACAAATATCATTATTTTTTAAATGATTCATGTCATCAAATATACACATTCCAATTAAATGATGTAAGTTCCAACTATCTAAGTCACCTAGAAGAGAATAAAAGCCTGTATGGAAGTGTGGTTGCTGTTACTTTTCAAATAGCTTTTCATGTCAAAATGCATGCCAACGATGTTTTTTTATTTTTTAAAAATTATTTTTGACATCAGCACATCAAAATGATTTGAAAACACTAAAAACATATTAATTTGAAGTTGATAAAAAAATAAAAAAAAATCAATTTTTTTCAAAAGCGCTTTTGAAATGCAGAAACAAACAGTCTCTAAATACGCAAGATAGACGATTTGCATTTTAGATCTAATAATCAACAAGTGAAGGAGCCAGTTGTTATTAGTAATCCTAAAATAAAGAAAAAAGTGGAGTTGATTGAAATGAAGTTTTATTATTTAAAAAAGGAGTTAAAAATTAAATACAATTTTTCCATTGTTTTCATACATGTAATATTATAAAAAGAGGGCCCAACTCCAAGCTGTTTAATAATAATGGTGTTGAGTTTTTCAACCCTTTGACTTAGGATTAATTAGTTTTATTTCTTGATAAAGGCAAAGGAAGGGATATAATTTAATGGTATGGTGACACCTTGACATAATAAAAGTTATCAATTTAAGCCTAAAGTCAATTATAAAATTAAACAAGGGTATATAACAAAGGATCCTTTTAGTGTGATTAAAAGCAAAGAGTAGGCATAAGACCATTTATTAATATTAATATTCCATATAGCTCTATATTTTTTTTTACTTGACTCAAATGGATCGGATTATGAATCCAATTCAACAATCCTTAACACACTTATTTGTTCCATCTCTTTTTACTTCAAAAACAATGACTAACTTTTTAGCAATTAAATGTAACAATATTAAACTTTTTATAGTTTGGAAAAGTTATATTTCTTTATCTCTATAGGAAAAAAGAATATGAAATATAAAAGAAAATATCAATCAAATCAATTACAAGAATACCAATTATAGTGTCGATCAACCAAAAAAGAATCATTCTCTACTGATTTTCCTTTTAGCCAATCCATTTTCTAACCTTGGTACAGAACTAAAGTTAGTGAGTGTCGCACGTCCCCCGCGCAACAATTCGGCGATTTTTCATTCTGTTTCCTTGATTTGGTGTCTTGGAAGTCGCCACCTAGTATTTTCTTGAGGATTACTAGAAAACCCGAATTTACTGATCGTGGTCAGAGATTAGAGGGTAAGGGACTGGTTGTGGCTAGGGAAGGTATTAGCACCCCTAGCGCACCCTACCTGAAATAAGCTGCTTTGCGGTTTGATGTAATTTAAAAATTTGAAATATTAATTAAATTCTAAGGTTTTAATAAATCAGTTATTAAATTCCATAATTCATAAAAACTTGTTATTACATTTTTATGGAAAATATAACTTAATTTTATTTATCCTTAAGATATTTAATCATATTCAAATTAAACATTTAATTCTTTTTATCTTTTTTTTTTATTTTTATAATTCAATAACATAAAAAAAAAATACAAACACACGCCACTTTTTTACTATGCATCGGTTTTACATATTACAAAACAACAGAAATTAAATAAAAATACTAAAAGTAATTCTACAAACAATTTCCATCATGTGAAAATTACAGAAACAAACACCTAAACATCCGGGAATTGCAGAGGGCCTCTGGAAGCTGCCGGAACAGTGGCAGCGCGTTGATTCACGCGCCGCCGCGAAACCAAGAATGGGGAACAGGGGGTCTGGCTCGGCCTCTTCTCCCCTTCCTTTCCCTGCAGGCGGTAGATCTTCCAATCACCTGCAAGACACAAAAATCACAACCAGTCGATTTTATTTTCATTTTTCTTTTCTTCCGCTGTCTTCTCTCTTCCTCCCGGTTCGTTTCCCTCTGCTGGTAGCAGATCCGGCCGTTGGTTCATGGTCCAGATCTGCTACATGGGGTTGAACCGATGAAGAAAAGTCGGGGATTGCTGGGTCTTCACGAGTTGGCGGCTGGTTCAGGAGAATGGGCAGTTGAGGCCGAGTGAGGAGAGAGCTGGGTCTCCTGGCCTGTGAGTTGCTGTTGTATCCTTCTCTTATTTTCTTGTTCTTGCTTCAAGTGGCGGCAAGACAAAAGGGGCAGTCAGCTGCTAAGCTTTTGTCCGGTCTGTACGGTGGAGACCTATGAGGGTCGGGTGCTGGTGGTTGGTCTCCTGTGTCGGTAGGCGGCGGTGTTTCTTGGCTGACTATGGGAGATGACAGTGGGGAGGGGGAACCAGCCGCGGCCTCTAGCTCTGTTTTTGACCAAGGGAAGGGGCCAAGCTTCAGCTGATTTCAGGAGAAGAAAAGGAAAATGAGGAGAGGTAGGGGGGTTTGCCGTGGCTTTTTGGTTCTCTTTGTTTTTGGCAAAGGGAGGGGGTAGCCTTCTGTGCTGGTTGGCTGGGGAGGTCTTTTGAACTGGTTTTGGGGAGAAAGGTGCCGAAAATGGCAGAAAGAGGGCAGAGGGCTGATGGAGAGACTAGGGACAGTCTCTCCGGTTTTCCTCGAGGAAGGGGTGAGCTGCGGCTATATCAGGGGAAATGGGGGGAACGGTGATGGGCAGATGACAGGGTTGGTCTTTTTAGCTATTGTTCTAGGGCGGGGGGCGGCTGCAGGAGAAGAAAGGGATAGGTTTTTTTTTAGGGTCTTTTTTTTTGGTTTAGCTGTTCCCTATTAATTTTCTCCGCCCCTCTTTTTTTTCTCTGCACCTCCTCCCTCCAAATTTTTCTCCTCGTGTAAATTTCTCCACCCCCTTTTCCATTTACTGTAGCAATATTTATAGTAGAAATATTTGCTAGGTTTTCAAACTACTCCTTCAATTTTTCTTTTCTTTTCTTTTTTTTTTGTTAATTTTTATTATTTTTTTTGTATTTTTTAAAGCGAGCAATATCAACGTCGACTAAATCAGTGATTGTAAAATTTACGCGTTAAAAGTTGAACGCGTTTGAAATACCTTTGAAAATTTAATTTTTCTGAAATGATGTTGAAAATGCTAAAAACAATACAAATATATCAAAGTGCATTTTTTTGGGGTTTTTCATTGTTTTTTTCCTATTTTTGATTTCTTCTGAAAAGTTATCAAAAACATGGGTCAAAAATTGGGTAGCAACAGTGAGCAAGGAATCCTAAATACTATACAATTTATTTTTCTGAGTCTATTTTCACGAGCGACCTACCCACACGCTCATCCTACACATTCTCACATTGGTCTATTTTCACGAGCGACCTGCCCACATACTCATCCCACACATTCTCACATTGGTCTATTTTCATGGACTATTTTCACGGGCGACCTGCCCACACATATACACACTAGTCTATTTTCAGGGGTGACCTGCCCAGACATACTCATTGTGGTCTATTTTCACGGGCGACCTGCCCACATATACTCATGCTGGTCTATTTTCACGGGCGACCTGCCCAGACATACTCACACTGGTCTATTTTCAAGGGCGACCTGCCCTTTTGATTGGGTTAACCTGAGATCCCATCTGGCAATCTCCTTTAACCAGAACCAAAATTGGTGTGTAGCTCGGTCAACCTAAAATCCCATTTGGGAATTCCCTTTAACCAAAGCTAAGCTCTGTGTGTGCTTGAGTTAACCTGAGATCTCATCTGGTGATCTCTTTTAACCAGAATCGATACAAAGATGTGTGTGTGGGCTCATTGTAATGGGTGACCTGCCCAGTTGAAAGATGATGGTCTCATTATGATGGGTGACCTACCCCAAGAAAGATGGTCTCATTATAATGGGTGACCTACCCAAATGGAAGATGATGGTCTCATTATGATGGGTGACCTACCCCAAGAAAGATGGTCTCATTATAATGGGTGACCTACCCAAATGGAAGATGATGGTCTCATTATGATGGGTGACCTACCCCAAGAAAGATGGTCTCATTATAATGGGTGACCTACCCAAATGGAAGATGATGGTCTCATTATGATGGGTGACCTACCCCAAGAAAGATGGTCTCATTATAATGGGTGACCTACCCAAATGGAAGATGAAAAGTGGTCTCATTATAATATGGGACCTACCCAAATGGAAGATGAAAGGTGGTCTCATTGTTATGGGTGACCTACCCAAGTGGAAGATGAAAGGAGGTCTCATTGTTACGGGTGACCTACCCAGGAAAATGCAAAGATTTTTTTTTTTAAAAAAAAAAATGGTCTCATTGTTACGGGTGACCTACCCAAATAGAAAATGGAAAAAACATGAAGTGGTCTCGTTGTAATGGGTGACCTACCCAAGTAAAAACATGGAGAATGGTCTTATTGTAATAGGTGACCTACCCAGAAAAAATAAAAAGCGGTCTCATTATAATGGGTGACCTACCCTGGTAAAAACGTGAAGAATGGTCTCATTATGATGGGTGACCTACCCAGAAAAAATGATGATGGCTCAAAGGCGCACTTGAAATGAGGTAGGGTTAGAAAACACACTACCCAAGAGATGGTGGCTCAAAGGCGCACTCAGAATGAGGTAGGGTGAAAAATGCACTACCTAAGAAATGGTGGCTTGAAGGCGCATTCGGAAGGAGATGAGGGCTCAAAGGCACGCTCGAAAGGAGGTAGGGTTAGAAAACGCACTACCTAAGAGTGAGGGCTCAAAGGCTCATTCAAAATGAGGTAGGGTTAGAAAATGCACTACCTGAGAATATGGTGGCTCAAAGGCATACTCGGAAGGAGATGAGGGCTCGAAGGCACACTCAAAAGGAGGTAGGGTTAAAAAACGCACTACCTGAGAGTGAGGGCTCAAAGGCGCACTCAAAATAAGGTAGGGTTAGAAAACGCACTACCTGAGAAATGAGGGCTCAAAGGCGCACTCAAAATGAGGTAGGGTTAGAAAACACACTACCTAAGAAGTGGTGGCTCAAAGGCGCACTCGAAAGAAGGTAGGGTTAGAAAATGCACTACCTGAGAAATGAGGGCTCAAAGGCGCACTCAAAATGAGGTAGGGTTAAAACGCACTACCTAAAAGGTGATGATGAAACACCGATATGACAATGCTAAAAACAATGCATTATGATCAATATGCATGTACACGTACCTGAGAAATATAGGTCCCCCCTTCTTTGATGATCCATCGTCATAGGGTGTCTTTGTTTGTTTTCCCAAAGCTTTCTTTGTTCTTTCCATGCATTGGCTCATTCATGTGATAGCCATCACTCAATTGTAAATGCAGTCCCCATCTTAGGCTGTCTTCGACGGTTACTGCTCTCGTTGTTCATCAAGCTTGACTCTGCCCCTAAGTGTGGTGCTGCTTGATTCATTATGAAGGATTTTCTCTCCTGAATTCTTCTGAGAATTATCCTTTGATTAACTGTTGGTCTCTTGCAAACACCCATCAAGATTGTCAATCAGTCATGAACTTGTCTCCAGTTGAAACATACCCTTCAAGTATGTTATCATCAGCCTTCATGGAACTATCAAGTCATCCAGACATGCATCTCATAACTTATAGTAAAAAGCTCATCGTTGTAAGCTAAATGTTCTTCTCCATGGATTCCTCTTAGCTTATCAAATCAGATCGTGCAAAGAAATGTATTGTAATTAGCAATGATCTTCATCACCCATATTCATGCTGTGAAGTGTGCATTTAAGCCAAGATGAAGATGTCCTTCAGATGCAGCGTTGCTCATCAAGTGATGCTGAACTTCACTTGATCACAAACTGTCTTTGAACAACATTGCCCCCAGTGATGATCTGAATGCTCGTTCATCTGTCTATACTCAAAAAGTTTTTTCTTTGTCATTGCCAGATGCTAAACATAACTTTGATGGACTTTGACGACTCATCATCTGATTTTGCTTTGCCCCCTAGCTGAGCTGAATACTGTTTGTTTTCCTTCTTAGAGTCCACTGTATTGTCCCAAGGTGTCTTAACTTTTCAAGGAGTGTTGAGAAGAGTTGATGTCATTTCATGTCAAGGATTTCGCAAGCTCAATCGATGTTCTTCTTTGTTTGACAATCTTGTTCTAGAATCAAATCTCATTTTTCAAAGATCATGTCTATTCACATCTAATTGTTGAAATGAAATCAGAGAGATGTCAATTTTCAAAAGTATTTTTTGGAAATCAAGCTTGTTTGGTCAAAGATCCAACACATGCTATTCAATGTAGTCCTTCGATTGTCATGTATTTCAAAAACAGAAATGACCCGTTGTAAGATTAAAATGACTTTTTTCATGGTTCTTTGTGTCAGTTTTAATCTTTGATCTTGGGTATATCTTTTGATAGTCTACGATGAGGTGACCTTCTATGAATTTCAAGAAACAAAAGGCTCAAGTCAAAACTTGAGGATTCATCAAGGAAGTTGTTTTCTTTTTTAGCACCAATTTTATCAACATGCATAATAACCAGTAGCTTAGTCCATGAAGCCACGACTCTTATGGAAAACTCTTCAAGTTTTGAGATCGCCATTTATCGGTTCAGATTGCTTACTTGATTAAAAAGGGCTTTTAAAAGCACGTAATGTAGGCTATGGTTAATGGCCATGAAAGAAAGGAAATTCAAAAGCTCAAAAGGTGTTTGAGGGTTTCAAAGACATAAGATCAACATCAACTATTCATCAATTTTCTTTCTCTTAATGTCATAGTAGAGAAAGTGACATATAACCTTGTTAATCTCAAGTATCAGAATTCTCTTAACATAGGTCATAATGCAAATCCAACTTTTCTTTGATGAATAACCAATCTAATCTTTTCTTTTTTACACACCAAAAGACACAAAACTTGATTTTTTTTTTGTGCTGACTTCTAGCATTTGCTGTGTCTTTCTTCAATTGAAACTTCTTTTGCCTCTCCTAGAATTGATAGGCTTTCCCTTTTTTCCCTTTTTTCTTCTCTCATTTTTTTTTTACATAGCCTTTCTCAAAGTTTTCTTGGATGGCCTTCAATCTATGGCTTTTTCTAGCCCTTTCTTAATCATTAGACTTTTGTTCTAAGCCTTTTCCCTTATCCATTGACTCTAACAGTGTCTTCAAAATATCTCTCATTTGCCCCCAGTGTAGGGTGTGATCCTAGTCAGGGTTTCTTTTTGAAGAAAATATTTTACCAAGCTCAAAATGGGACTGCAAGGGATAATATTTCAAGAAATGTGAAAGGATAACAAAGATGGCCTTTTCTCATTTCAAGCAAGGTCGGTTAGAATCGATAAATTTTGACCTCGTCCAGCGTAATGATTTGGACTTATAAGAGTCAATGATTCAAGAGTCCATAACTGTTGAATCCACTACATGTCATTATGCATACTATTAAAACTCAGCTATATGAAGTGTGGTTCAGTTTCAGTAGGTATGAGTTCAAAATTATTTGGTCACCTCATGTCATTTTCGAGCATCGAGTCATTTCTGCAATCAAAATACTTTTAATCTTCAGGATTGATTAATCTTAATCGCATGTTGGAGCTTGATCAAAATATTTTATCAAAATAAAATTTGAAAGAAACATCTCATGTTTTCATAACA